TATTATTATTTTTATTTATATTTAAGAAAGCAATTATTATCTAACAATAAGAATATCTAAAGAAACTTTTTCCTTCTATGCTCAAGGTATATACAAATCGTGGTTAATTAAAATATTTACTAACTTCATCAAATTTTCTTCTAACTTTATATCCTCTATACGTAGCTTGTATCATAGTAGCTGCTTCTTCTTCAGATTTAGCTGAATCGACATGATTTTCTATACATCTTGATTTTTTCATTATTTTATTCTGTTGTTTCTTTATGGGAAATATAACATTTTGTTCCCAATGCTTGCGATTGTAATTTTTTTCTTGTCGATCTTCGTACCTTGATTTATCAATAACCTATAAACATTTTACTTGTAATTTAAACATACATATACATATATATATATATATATATATATGTTGCAAAATAAAATCATTTTGCATACATGTAGTTGTATGTAATTACAATTATATACTTTATTATTTAATATATCTTCTATTGTTTAATATATCTTCTTGCATTTTTTCATCTATATATTCTTCTAAACCCAGATAGCCAAGTGAGATTTAGCATATGGAACAAATTGATGCACTGCATTGTTTTCAACTTGTCGACAATTTGCTGTCATTGGAATCTAATGTGAACTGAGTTAGCATCAGGAGAGCAAATAAATTTCATGAGTTTACGAAATTGTTAAGAGTATACATTGACAAATAATAAACGCGTCACGTTGACAGCAAACTGACGGCATGTTATGTACGCATGATAACAACTTGTCAGCAGTTTGCTGAATTCTAAGGAAGACTTTACGTGACATCAGAACAACAGACAGTTTGTGGAAATACCTTAGCTTTAGTTTGGTGAAATTGAATTCGGAATAAGTGACAGCAAAATGGCAACATTTTATTGCCCTTATTTGGTTATCTGGGTATATTACATTAAACAAATATTACATGCATTTAGTCATTCCACTTTTGTCGCACGCAGTAAAATACAACATGTAAAATACTGAACGTAATGAAAGATTCAAGAATAAAAATAAAGCATAAGTCTTTGAATTAATCCTCAAATACTTAATACATCACGTTCAATGCACTTCTATCCTAGTAAGCAAGAAACATTTTTGGACATTGCAATAACGTTACAACTCAGTAGCGAGCAAATGTATATTTGTCATTTTGACATCAAAATAACGAAAAATAACTACGTTAGTTTATTACATGGATTCATTGCTGCAATACTGCAGAATATTTTAAAATGTTTCTTATAGGAAACTATACTTACTGAGACTATTTCATATTGTGTATTGTATATATTTCACATATATCATTACCTTTTAAAATTTTTAAATAAAAGATAAAATTCTAATTTTTTCTCTTTTACTTTTTATGTTTTTGTTTCATTATTGCTTAATTCTTTATATTTCTTATATTTTTACAAGGTCCAGAAAAACATTTATACCGTCGGAATCTCATGCTGATGTTCATACATAGATTTTGTATGCTTTAAAAATTCCAAAGATTTTCTGGATAATTCACTTGCCTCGCAATATTTCGTATCACGAATGATAGATTTATTATTTTTATTTCCATCGTATTGCGTTTTGTTCTATGAATAAAAATGATATAGTATTACTCCAATGTGTATAAAGATACTTAATTACTGTAATTATATTGACATTCTTATTATTTTTTTTTAGTAAAAATATCTATTAAATATTCTTTTCATGTAAGAAATAATTTACAAAATTATATAACCAGTATAATTATTAAACATTGATTTACATGTATTGACATGTATTGACAAATGTCTTTATTTATGATAGAATTTTTTAGATTTATAATTTAAAATTAAATAGTTATATTTTAAAGCTCTTTCTCACCGCTCTCATATTATTTTTGCCTATATTGCTGAGACAATTAGTTAGGATTTCAGGTGACATTACTATACCCGATGAAGTTGTAATTTTTGATACATATTTTTTTGGTTCTTGAGTTTGCATTGTGTTATATTGTTCTAAAAATAAGTATAGAATAAATATCTCGTTGAAAGTATCAAATAGTATTATAAGTTTATATAAATTTCTAAATTATTAAATTTTTAAGAGAAAAAAAGGTCTTGTGCTCTAAGAATTTTTTAAAAATATAAAAAATTATCTAAAATTGCAAAATATATTTACTGTTATCAGCAA